AGAGTATGCAACCCTGGTAGAGCTTCATACAGGGCGAGGGGGGAAGCCAGGCAGGGCTGTACTGCTGGGATGCCCAACAGGTCTCCATTCCACGATTGCTACTTGGAACAAGCAGCCCCCAAAGCAGCTGAATAAAATGCACATAACATTATCTATAGGTTGGCGCTGTAAGACATCAGGATGGCTTTGTAGAAGAGTGGCCCTACAACCTGGAGCAGTGAATGGGGCTAGAACTATGACCTGTTCCTGGAAGCCTCAGCTATGGGCCTGCTGTGGAAAGATGGACTGTAGCTGTAGTGGGGTGCAGGCAGAGCCCTGTACTCAGTTGCCTGAATAACTTCCTGCCGAAGGGTATGGGAGATGTTAGGTTGCATTGGTCATGAATGGATTTTCTCAAACTGTCATATTAAATTTTGCTTTGGGGTTAGGATTTTATTGCTGTGAAGAGACACCATGACCATGGCAACTCTTCCACAGTGACACACTTCCTCATACAAGGTCACAACTCCTAATGGTACCACTCCCTACAGGCCATCATTCAAACAAAAGACTATGGGGACCATTACTATTCAGACCACCACAAATTGAACCCAAAGCTTGGATGTGATCCCTCTGCCCTTACCCCTGATTTGTTGAACTTAGGAAGCAAGGTGTCCAGGTGTATGCCTATAATCCTAGCACATGGTAGGCTAAGGCAAGAGGATGGAGAGGTGGACTAGTCTGGACTACACAGTGGGATTCTTTTTTAAAGGGAAAAAAAAGTGAGGTTTGTGAGTAGAGGGATGAAAAGAATCATGAACCCCAGGATCCCTCACCCTTGGTAGACTTGGTACCACTGTCTGCTCTAGGCTTTGCTAGAAATGTTATTTTTACTGAATATACTACAGTGCTGGAGTTTTTCTATTTGTTACTGCTTTTCAATTAGCAAAAAGAAGTCCTTACTTCAGAATACTGCTAATGGTTAGTCTTTTATGTTAAATAGAGTGAAGTACGACCTGAGTGTATCTGCCTCCAGTGCCTTCAGCAAGTACTCAGGACATCTGATGAAAGGAATAAAACAAAGTGTTGACTTTGACAACTCCTTTCCTTTTTATGCCTAAGGAGACAAGCTAGTGCCACCATCGCAGAGCTGACTCCTTTTGCATGGGAACTGGATCTGTAGGCATTGATGGAGAGTGGTGGGTACACAGAGGATTCAGCAGCTGTGCCCACCTGGGGAGTGGCACGCTTAAGCTGTGAACAAGCATGGGGAGTAGTTCACCTGGAAGCCTGTGGTTAAAGGTGTTGCTTTCTTTCCCTGAAATAGCCTCCTAGATCCCTGTTCTCAGCAAGCAGCTGAAATACTCTCACCTGCATCTGTTCTCTGTGCACCAGAAATCTGAGGTAAGAAATCCAGACACCTTTCCAAACCATGCTATAGCCTGTGGTAGAAGTACACCCCTCCATGGTTAAGAGTTAGAAGACTGGGTACCAAGCTTCCCTGAGTAGTGGCAGGTTAGTAGTGACAGAATTGCTGGGCCTTGTCACCAGAGCTCTCTCCTTACCCTCCAGCTTCCAAAGAAAAGTATAAAGGATGGTAGCTCTGGTGGGGTGTCCCCAGCAGAGATAGAGTATCCCAAGTGTCAGAAGGAGCTCAGTGGTCACTGATGCTGCCAAGGGTACTGGATCTAACCACCAACCCTGATCTTCCACACACTGAGATTTCCTTTTGAGGACAGGAAAAGGTAGCATTTGAAGATGGTCACAACCTAGTATATTGGCCTTGCATGGAAGCAAGGAGCTGAATTTTTTTCTTCCTCCAGGTCCAGGAGTATCAGCAGCCAAGATGTCTAATGAGCCACCCCCTCCTTATCCAGGAGGCCCTACAGCCCCACTACTGGAAGAAAAAAGTGGAGCCCCACCTACCCCAGGTAAGGATGTTAAATTACCCTGGTAGAGGCCTGGGTAAGGTCCCTAGATGGGATGGATTGGCTCGTCTTAAGGGTCTTTCTTGACCTCTGCCTCTGTCACAGCTCTTTCTGTATCCAAATATAATTGAAGCTTTTCAATTTAGGGTCACCCTGTGCCCAGCCTGTGTGTGGAGATTAGCTGACCTACCTTTCTGTCCCTCTCTGTCCAGGCCGCACCTCCCCAGCAGTGGTGCAGCCACCATCAGGCATGCCACTGCCCTCTGCTGAAGTTGCCCCCCCACCCTATGAGCCACCTGGTCATCCAATGCCTCAGCCTGGCTTTGTGCCCCCCCACATGAATGCAGATGGCACCTACATGCCTACAGGTGAGCTGAGAACTGAAGGAAGCATTAAGGCAGCTGCCGCCCCAAATTCACTTATGTCAAGCCGTATGAAATGAAAATGGTGGCAAGGAGAACTTGCCATCCACTGAGGGAAGGTTCATGCTAAGGGCTGTGGTGTGGTGGGGCTTGTCCCTGTTAAGGATACAAGCCCCCAATGGAGGCCTAGAGCTTTGTTCACCAGTATTCTCTGGGCTACATTCATCTGGTGCCTATAATATCTGGGGTTGGGTTGAAGAGGAATGATACTTTCCCTCTTGCTGAAGCCCTCATCCTTGAAAACATGGAAGAACAGTCTTGGTCGAAATGTGGTAGGGATCAAATGGGTCATTATAAATGCTTACCTTGAGCCACGGCCTCAGCGGTAAGGCCTGTTCCTGCTGACACTCTGGTCCTCTTGGGGAAGATAGCAAGAAGCTATTGTCTGTGTTCTCTCTTAGCCAGCCAGGGACCTTTCTGTTTGTTGTTACAGGTTTCTACCCTCCTCCAGGCCCTCACCCACCAATGGGCTATTACCCACCAGGACCCTACCCACCAGGGCCCTACCCTGGCCCTGGGGGCCACACGGCCACGGTCTTGGTTCCATCAGGGGCAGCCACTACGGTGACAGTGCTGCAGGGAGAGATCTTTGAAGGTGCACCTGTACAGACAGTGTGTCCCCACTGCCAGCAGGCCATCACCACCAAGATCTCCTACGAGATTGGCCTGATGAACTTTGTGCTGGGTTTCTTCTGCTGCTTCATGGGGTAGGTGTGGGGCATAGACACGTGGTGGTGCTGCTGCTGGGGCTCTGTATGCTGCCTGACTCTTCTCAGGCCTCAGCCTATCTCTGTCTTCAATGCAGGTGTGATCTTGGCTGCTGCTTGATCCCCTGCCTCATCAATGACTTCAAGGATGTGACGCACACGTGTCCCAGCTGCAAAGCCTACATCTACACATACAAGCGCTTGTGCTAACGGTGCCAGACTTGGACTCCCCCACCTATCAGTCTGGCCCCATGTGCTTTGCTCCCTGTGCTCAGTGGTCACTACTCCTCAACCCCCATTTAGGGTTGGAAGTTTTGCTACTGTACCCTGGAAATCCTGTCCTCCCCTTGCCCTTCCCTGAGCATCCGACTCTTCCAGCAAACATTCTGTTGGATTTAGGCCAAGGGCCAGTGGGTGACATGGGGGTGGCAATAATCTGTGTGTTGCTTGGGCATCTGCAATCCAGAAGATAAGCTGGAGAGGGTCTCTTAATGGGGTCCTCATTCCTCCTTTTCTGTATAAGGTCCAGTTTGGCCCTTAACTCTTCCTGGGGCCAAGAACACCCAGAAAACATCAACAGGTCCCAGATGAGGGCTGACAGTGAGGGTTGTGCCTGAAACAACAGTTGTTCCTGACCTTTTGGAAGAGGTCAGGGTATCATGTAGGATTAAGTGGACCCAAGCCTGATGACAGGGACAGGGTCTTAAGGCCTGGGTTTTTGTGTGGTATGTTGTCTGGGGTACCAGCATGGGTAAAAAAGAAATGACTGCCTACCCTGGACCTCAGAACTCTCAGGTATGGAAACCCAGGACTTCTACCCACTGTCCAGGAGGTACCTAAGAGCTGCCTGGTATAAGGCAAAGAGAATGCTGGGCAAGTTAAAGCCCTGGTAGCCAAGAAAAGTTTGCCCCTGTTCTTATCTAGCTTCTTTGAATCAGTCAGTGTACAGACCTCCTTTCTGGCCACACATCTGTGAACCCCTGTATTTTCTGGGGCCAGAAGGAATGAATGCCCAAGAGCCTGTCCTGTCAACTTCTGTATCTGTGTGGTGTATGGGTGCAACTTCTGCCTGGTTGGTTGTTGACAGAAGACCAGACGAACCTCCTTGTAGGTTCATTGTCACTGGAGTAAGTCCCAGCCTTTTTTGCTATAGTTGACTTGCTTCAATATTGGAACACTTTAGTAGGGACAGCTGTGGCACTGGGCTGGAGACCAGGAAGAAGTCACAAGTGGTGGGGATGTCCTAGGGACATGAGTCGTGCCCAGGGTGTAAGCCCAAACCTTTCCATTTCCTGAATGGTCTGTGAATATATGCCCATGTGGACGCTGTATCCTGCTGCTGTCCCTCTCCTGGTCTCACTACCACTGCATGGCCTCCTATCACTGTGAACTGTGGCCAAGTCCCAGTTTGTAGTTTCATTAAATTGGCCCTTACACTCCCCTGCCCTGGGCCTCTGCTGTCTTGCCTGGCTTCCTTCTTTCCTGAGGGGACAGGGTGGGACTACAGGTAACTCTACTGGCAGGCAGTACCCCAGGCCTGGGAAACAACACAGGAACCCTTGTTCTAGGCCAGGTCATTGGTTTCCACTATTTACATAATTAGGTGTCCTGGCTGCAGAACCTGAGAACTGGAGCCCTGCCCTAGCTTAGTGACCTCCTAACCTATAGCTGTTGCTCTTCAGTCCTTAAACAAAAACAAGATAGGTCTAAGATCTTACAGTTTGAAGATAAACACTGAAGTCTGGGCACTTAGACCTTGGTAAAACCAATCATCTGAACTGTGAAGGTGGTGGGTTCAAGTCATTAAAGAGTTTCCCTGTTGTTTCACCATTTTTTTTTCACACAAGACTTTTATAGGAATAGGTTCTTAACTAATAAAATATTTTAGACCATGAATTGTTTAAATATAAATATGTGCTTTTATAGTAAGAATTTCTGAGTTAGAAAAACCACAGGTCCAAGAACATAATTAAGGATCTTTATGGTGTTTAGCATGAATACACGGGAAAAGGTGCTAGGAATTGGTCAGGAGTGTCAGAAGGCAGGTGAGGACTGTCGTCAAAGAAGATGTCCATTTGTATGCAACATGCCACTGTTTCTGAAGGCCTCTATCCTGTCACAGGAGGGAGGGAAGTATGTGGTGTCTGGTGCACTGTGGCAAGTACACCAGTCAAACAGTGGCAATAGCTCATGCTAATAGACTTCTTAGGGACATCCTGGTTGAGCAGGATAGGCTTTGGAGGAGAGCTTCCACCCCAAAAGATTCCCTGGAGCTTAGAAAACTGAACCATCATCAGCCAGCATGACCCTTTCCCACAAAGCCTAGGTGTGTGGGCAGCTCACTCCCAGCAAGACAATGACTACAAGTATTGGTAGGAATGAAGAGAATGTACCCAGGCCTCTTAAGTGGCAAAAGTCCTGGAGCACTGCCAGATCAGAGGTCCAAGGCTGTCTTGCACTGGCACTAGAATGATTGATAGCCTGTGCCTGGTGTGCACTTGGCTGGCAGAGAAGATGGCTGTTAGGCAGAGGCTCTAGCGTCTGGCTTTTATTGGTTGCTTGTTTTCTCAAACCCAGCATTAAAAAAGTCACCTGAGGTGGTAGTTTTAGTCAAAGGTGGAGATGGGGTGGAGCAGGTCACTTGGGGTAAGATGCAACATGACAGGTCCTTCACATGTAGTACCAGGCAAAGAGTGCAGCAGCCACGGCCACAGTAGCAGCTAGAATAAGCTGAAGGCTAGGCTTCCTCAGCATAGCCATAGCTGTCCGGACGGGGCAGTTGCTGCCTTCCAGGGAACCTGCATGCAGCATAACAGGAGACATGATATATCAGTGGAGGACAATGATAAACCCATTCCAGAAATGTTAATTCAGGATCCACAACTTACCTTTGTCTGGCTGAGCAGCATAAAAGGGGCATTTACGTACATCTCCCTTCCCATCATGTATGGGGAGTCCGTCCTCCAGGGTTTCTCTTGCCAAAATGGAGCCAGCCTGGTCCAGTTCATTGAATATCTGAGGAGCAGAAATCATCAGGAGCAATCCCTGAACCAGGCAGACTCAGAATTTGCAGTCTTCACACCACCCACCAAGAAGCTAGAGCCACAGGACTGCAAACCAGTTTAACATCAAGCCAGAAAAGCAAGCAGTACCTGCACATCTTAGTTGGAGCTTAGGTGACTGCTGTTCACAACTCTTACTTGAATACCCATGACTGTTCTGACACTAAGGGCTGACATGGGGTTCTGGGGACAGAAATGATTTCTGCATGATCAGCCCTACGACTTGGGAAACCTAACTCTACTTCCCATGAATCTAGGTCCATACCAAGCAAGGTCTTTTTATATCAATCTTTGCTACACAATGAGGAAACTACCCGTTCCTCAATTCTAGCATCCTGCAGTGAAAGAGGGAGATGGCTCTATTTTCAGACCTTTCAAATACTGTGCCATGGGCCTCAAGCCAGGTCTCTCCATCTGGGAGCCACATATTGCTTCATGCTTTCTGATGGCTGATTCCTCACTTTTTTTTCTAGGGCATGTAGGAGCTCATTTGTTGTGCTTCCCACAGCCTCTTGAGAATCCTCTGGCTTTGACTCTACTGCTAAAGGAATCAAGCTCATACATCCATGGTTATAACCCCACGGAGCAGGCTCCACAGTCAGTGTCCAGTAGTACCTGCATATTATATTCAAAGGCTTTGTTGGCTTCCTCCACAATCTTCTCTTTGGTCTTCAAACTCAGGTCCAGGGCATTCATTCTGGCTCGGTAGAACTGCTTGAATTGCTGGGCATTGTCCACATGCTCAAACAGGTAGAACTGGGTCCCTTCCCCAGTGCTGGGGAGTTTCAGTGCCCGCTGGGCCACCTTCTTTAGCACCTGGCCTCCCGAAAGATCTCCCATATAACGAGTGTAAGCATGGGCCACCAGCAGCTCTGGCTCATTCTGCCCCACATAGTGAATCCGATCTACATACTTCTGGGCAGCTTCAGAGCACTTGACCTGCTCCTCCCAGTTTTCACCAAAGAAATACTCCATGTCCTTGATCAGCGCTTCCTTGCGGTGTAGCTCCATGGGGAAATACAAGGGAGCGAAGGCTGGGTGGTCTTTGTTGCGGTCCATTTCCTCCTCAAGGGCAGAGTATGTGAAGTAAAGTGCAGTAGTGGCCAGCTATATGATAGAAGATTGTAGAAGAGAGCTATAAGCCAAGACAGCAGCTCTAGAACCCATCATGTTTTAAGAGTAGCTCAAGATAGAAGTCACTGTCCAGTTCCCAAAGACCTAACTGTGACTCTTTATACTTAATACACCTAGGAGCTTCTGTAATTTCTTTTAAAAAAAAAACAACAGTGAATATTTGCAAACATTTTTGTTACTCCATTTATGCTTGAACAGCCATGGCTTAACACTAAGAAAAAAAAAAAAATATGGCTGGGCATGGTAGCACATACCTTTCATCCCCAGTATTCAAGAAGCTAAGGCTGGAGGATCCAGGGTTAGAGCCCACCTGCAGCCAGACTATTGCCAAAAAGAATTAGAAAAGACCCAGCATCTTCTCACTTAGAGTGGTTGCAGGGCAACTTCCTCAGCCAACTAAAGCCACCCCACTTCTCACCCCAATATGACTGAGGGCACAAACCTTAAATAGCTCCTTCTTAATGTTTCCTTTCAAGAAGTCTTTGACAAACTGGGTATTTTCTGCCCGGTCATGTGATTCCTTGGTCCCTTCCTTCAGGAGCTCAGAAAGGTCTGCCATTCTGTGGAGATGAATTTTGTGAGACAGTAACACTTTCCAGTTCTCCAGAAAGGACTCAAGGGCAAAGGACAGTTCAGACCCCAGATACAGACTGCAAGCACAAGCGCCTCAGACCCTACTTCAGTGAGCATGACCAGGTGAGCCTTGTCAGCGAGCACAAGACAAGCAGATACGACAATCTGCCGCAAAAACTCAGGAGACATGAAGATTAGTATGGTTTCCTCAAGACTGCCTGGATCCATGGGTGTGTGTGTGTTAGTAAACACCCAAATGAATGACAGTTTGCTTCTCTGGCCACTTCGTAGCTGAAGAAACAAAATTTAATCCAGCCCAGAAAGAGCTGTCTTCCTCTAGGGATGCTGTGTGAATGGGATGGGCCTAGGTGTGAGAAGATAAGATAGTTGAGGGAAAGACCCAAGATTTTGGGTCTGTTTTTTTGTTTTTTGTTTTTTCCTTTTGGTCATTCCAGGCAGGGTTTCTCTGTGTAGCCTTGGCTATCCCATAACTAGCTCTGTAGACCAGGTTGGCCTCAAATTCAGAGATCCACCTGCCTCTGCTTCCTAGTTTTGTATTTAACAGAATCAGACAGGATAGTTACACCAGTAAATGGATAAGGTAGGAAAGTATCATAAGGACAACGGAACCTAGGGAGTATTCCTGTGTATCCACACAGTCTATTAGAATGAGAAAATTTTGGTTCTCTTGTGGTCTAGCATCTGCAGTTTTTAATTTTTTTATTTTATTTTTTAGGATATTAATTTGTATCACCCCACATCCTGAGAACTGGTTTATTAGCAATTATTTTAAGATATAAGCTATAAGAAATAACTTAGCCAATGATAGGACTCTAATGAAAGCCTAAGAACAATGCACAGCAGGGCCCAGTAATTTGAGTCTTGGAGAGATTAGCAAGTAAAGGCCTGCCCTAGAGTCAAGCTCAGATTCCAAATTTGGTAGGGAGGTGACATTGTAAAATGAACCAGCTTTACCTCTCATTCCTCAATAGCTCAGGTAGGGTTTTTTATTTTGTTTTGTTTGCTTTTTTGAGACAGGTTTTCTCTGTGCAGGCCTGGCAGCCTGGAACTTGCTTTGTAGATCAGGCTAGCCTCCAACTCTGCCACCACACCTGGCAACACTTGGTTTTTAAAAGCAGAAAGAGAAAAATAACTACCATAAAACTTAACTCAGCACTCCCAGCAGCATCTGGCCTATCTCCTTGGGTAACAGAAGAAAGAAAACGAGAGTGGAACTGCCGAGGTTGGACAGAGCCCTACAGTACCAACAAAACATCCCAGGGTCTAGACAGCTCAGGGCTGATGACCATTCCCTAATACCATCACCAGATTGAACCAGACACACTGGCATGTGGCAGGACAGCTGCAAGGCCCTCCTGATAGGAAGCAGCCAGGTGCTATCACTCACTTGGTATGGTTTTCCTTTTCCGGGGCCATGGAGTTCTTCTCTGACTCATCTACCCCTTCTGAGGTCTCCAACTCTGAAGACATTGTTGCTGAGTATTTCCTGCTGCCTTCACTCTGGTCCTGTAGAGACACAAGGAGTTGGTAACTGAGTAACCTCTGATTTAGGCCATCATAACTGAGGAGACACTCCTGCACCTCAAGATTGTGTTTCTCAAGGGATAAGAACACTCTATTCCTTCAGAGGTCCTGAGTTCAATTCCCAGCAACCACATGGTGGCTCACAACCATCTATGCTGAGATGTGTTGCCCTCTTCTGGCATGCAGGCGCACGTGCAGATAGAATACTAATTAAGTAAATAAAATCTTTAAAAAAAAATTTGTTTTTCACAACACAGCTCTGCCATTACTGGGAGCATGGACAGATCTGAATATGGACCTGAGTTACAATAATGCTGAGTTTGTTCTTAGGCAACACAACCTGGCATTCAGAAGTATGCATGCTGTCTACAATTACTGTCATCACTTAAGGATGAATTTAGGTTAAGTAAAGCAAGAAAGCAAATGAGGCAGAAATGCTGACAGTCTAAGTAAAAGGGATACAAAAGTTACCAGTTTTTTTCTGCATGTTTAAAATCATAAGATAAAAACCTACTAAAGACATAAAAGGAAGCAACATTAAAAAAAAAAAAGATAAAATCTGCAGGAGCTCTCAGCTTATTAAGCAATGCAAGGCTTCCATTTTACCACAGTTCTACCTGTGTGGGCTGCTGGATAAAAAGGAATAAGGGCAGAATGTTGGCAAGAATTTAGTTAAGCCAGGCTATACCTAACTGTTCCACTGTAGAACAGAACAGGTCAACAAGCCTGAGATACTTTTAAGTGTGTCACCTAGCAAGCAAACTGTCCCCAACCTAGCCTGTACTCTGCTGGGCTGCATGAAATAATAAGCTAGCTGATTAACTCCCATTGCTTACTTTAAGGCTAAGCTTGGGAAATACAATCCCATAATATGATAATTTCATCCTCCATCCCTGGAGACTTCTACTCTAGCAGTACCTAAAGGGGGAGCCCACTTGGAGAACTTTCTAGATGAACAGTGTGGCACAACAGCACCAACTAATAATAAAGTCACTCATAAAGACAAAAATTCCAACTCTGGAGCTATATCTGGCCAATCTGGGCCAAGGAAAAATAAACTTAATTTTCTACCTCAATTAGCACTTATTTAATGAGCATCTTCTACAAAGGAAACAATTAGGTGTAAGAACAACCCTTGAGGTAGGAGTGTATGAGGCTCAGGTTTGCCTAGCATGTGTGAGACACTAGGTTTAATGTCCGGCACTATAGAAAAGGCTCTTGGAAGCCAGGCAGTGATGGTACCCTGCCTTTCATCCCAGCACTCAAGAGGCCTAGGCAGGTTCTCTGATTTTGAGGCCAGCTGGTCTACAGAGTAAATTCCAGGATAGCCAGAGCTACATAGAGTAGCTCTATCAAGAGAGGGAGAGGGAGAATGAGAAAGAAAAGAAAGAGAAAAAGGTCCTTGGAAAGCGAGAAAACACATCTTCCCCTACAGGTTCACATTAGTATATATCAGTTCTTCTATCTACCATCTTTCCAGTTTTTTAAAGGGGTTGGGGGAGGGATGGTCTTCTCAGCACAGTCATTTTTTTTGTTGTTGTTTTTTAATTTTTAAATGGCTTTATTTTAATTTGTTAGAAGAGGGTGTTGAATCCCTTGGAACTGCAGTTACAAATGTTTGTGAGTCACTGTGTGGTTGCTGAGAACTGAACCCCAATCTTCAGTAAGAGCAGTAAGTATTCTTAACTGCTGAGCCATCTCTTCAGCCCCTTCAGCTTTTGTTGTTTTTTTTTTTAAACAGACTTTAAACCTCCTAAGCTGCTTTGAAATAGCTCTGTATCCCCAAACTGAACTCAAACTTGTGATAATCCTACTGCCTCAGCTTTCTGAGTGCTGAATTACAGATATGTGCCAACATCCTAGGTCTTCTACTTGTATTTTGACTGATGTTTAGTGAAATCTAAGAATGAAATAAAAAAAAAAAAACAGTATAAGATAGAACATTCTCTTGACTCCAAAACATACATACTTCTGAACTAAATGGTACACAGAATTGCCCATTAAAATGTAAAGGCAGGTGGCCATCAATAATGGAACATAGAGAGGCTTTCAGGAAAACCAGCAATAACGAATGGATTTCAAAGCTGGGGGATGGAGTACATCAGATTAAAGAACAATATGAAAAAGACAGTTGTACAAGGCTGCCCTGTCATGTTTTCTCATGAGGGCCTGAGGCAAGTTTTATTAGCTATAGGGTGACCTTTACATCTACCTTCTAAGGATTTTCAAAGAACTAATGTAGATTTACAGAAGCAAGAGGATGGCTGCAGCTTCAAAGCCAGCCTTGGTCTGTAATTTGAGTTCCAGGCTATCAGGGCTACTTAGTTAAGACCATACAAAAAAAGGGAGGGGGAATAATGCCCCACATCTCTGGGAATCTTGACAGACAAGAAGTGTTTCTGGCCTTTCAGTGCCAGGCAGCAGCAACAGGCAAAGTACCAAGTTAAGAGCCCTTGGCTGCCCGTATTAGAGAAGGGTGCAGTGCAGTAAAGTGTCCCAGAGCTTCTAAGGTACACCATGATGTTGAAAACGAAGCTGAGCACCTTAAAATTGCAGGTCCCCTGCTTTTCAGAGTACAGCATGGCAATATCAGGGACAAGCATAGTCACACAGATTACCAGCTGCAGTGAGGCAGACAAAACAATAAAATACTAATGCCATTCATCACCTCAATAGTTCTGCAAATAATATTTGCACCCAATTATAATGGGTAGCAGTAACTAAATTTAATCACTTTTATCTGGTAGTTAGTGCTCATTCTGGGAATGTAGTTTTCTTGAGCAACAAGACCTTTTTCATCTCTTAAAAATACAAAGGGAAAAAGGAGAGTTGGCTTTCGCTGGTACCCATTCATCATTTTCGAATTCTGAGCATTTAATTTGTGTCGGCTTCCCCACCCCCCATTACCTTTCACTAACCATCTTTCAATTTTACCACTTGCCAGCACCTGCCTTCTGTCCTTACAGCCAGTGAAAGGCTAACCTTTAGCTCTACAAAAAGGCTACAGCTGTCTTTTCCACTATTTAGCTCTATTTAACATGGAACACTGGGCTTTCTATAAATACTTGTTGGTGTTAAACAAAACAAAACAAACTAAATCGGATGGATGGATGGATGGATGGATGGATGGATTTATATCAACAGATTGATATAAATGGGGGAAAGAGCCAGGTATAATGGCACATGCCTGTAGCTGGGTAGGAGAGGATAAGCTGGGACTTCCAGGGAAAAAAGAGAGGGTCTCAGATGGGGACTAATGAGTCACCATGAGGAGTGATGAACAAGGAGGTGCTAGAGCAAGACTAAGATGGTAAGTAATGAGCCATATGGCTGGGAAATAGGCCAGGCCAGCATAGTCTGGTTAGAATAGCTCATTATCTGCCCAGCTACAATGCCTGAAGCTTTATTTGGGACCTAGGGCAGGCATAGAAAAAAAAAGAAAAAGAAAAAAAAAACATAATTTTTATGTCCGTTACTTGGGTGGCTGGCAGGTCAAGACAGGCTATAGTCTGGCTATGTAGCCCAGGTTGTTTCCTTTTCTTTCTTTTTTTTGAGACAGGGTCTTACTATGTAGCTCTGGCTGTCCTGTAACTATGTAGACCAGCCTAGCCTTGAACTCACAAGGCCTGCCTGCCTGCCTCTACCTTAAAGGTGTGTGCCACTAGGCCCAGTTTCACCCAGACTATTTTCAATCTCAATCCTCCAATGCCTTCTAGATCACAGGCATGTGTTGTGGATATAAACATGTTTTTGTTTTGGTCCCAGGTGTGGGATGTGGGACTGATTCAAGTCATCCACAGCAGTACACTTCATGCAGGCTCTGAGAGGAGTTCTTGTCAACTGCAGATAGTTTAAATCTGAGGACTCTGGAGAGAAAACAAATACCAGAGCCCAGAGACTGTGGTGGCTCCAAAAAAAAGAACATGGCTGCTCCTGTTTCACCTTGCTGCTCCTGGTTGCTGTTGTCAGACAAGAAGTTGGAGATTCAGGGATTGTCTCTGACATGAACTTAATGGCTGGCCCCCCCACCCCCACCCCTGGAGGAGCAGCCTTGCTAGGCCAAAGAGGAGGACACTGCAGCCAGCCTGAAGAGACCTGATAAGCTAGGGTCAGATGGAAGGGGAGGAGGACCTCCCCTATCAGTGGACATAGAGAGGGGCAGGGAAGAGATGAGGAAGGGAGGGTGGGGTTGGGAGGGAATGAAGGAGGGGGCTACAGCTGGGATACAAAGTAAATAAACTGTAACTAATATTTAAAAAATAAAGTTGGAGATCTTCTGAAACAAGACTGGCCTGGCTCCAAGGAACTCTATGACTCTAACCAGCAGGAAGCAGCTAAAAAGAACTGCATCCCTCTCCCACTAGCCCTTTCTCTCTCCTATCTGGTGATGGAAGAGATTGGGGTGCAGTAGGAAGAAAAAATATGTAAGAATCTTAACTAAAGGGTTTTTTTAAAAAAGTACCTCAAATTGTATCACATCAATTTGCAATGTATTTTTAAAAAAAAAAACTATAAAATAATACCAATAACCTGCTGTCTACCACTTTAATAGTTTTCTAAACTCCAAGTACAATTTATGTATTCCCTTTGAAAAACACTGAGTCCTCAAGGTGTCTGAAAGCTCCAGCATAGGCTACTGTACCCATTCTTGTTGCCTAGTCACCATTCCTCAAGGGAGTAACCATGTAGGGTGACACTAAGAGGTTACCTGGCCCCAGTGGAAATAATTATCTTCAATCTCTGAAAAGCTGCATTTCCAAATCCTCTGTGATCTGTATAATCCTTAAAAATTGCTCATAGCAATTGTGCCATAATAAGTAGTCATACAATGAAGTAAGAAAATAAATCATACAGCATAACATCCAAGAACAATAAGCTACTCAAAGGACAGTAAACAATGGAATGCTAGCACAACTGACTAAAGCTGATAAGCTGTGATCGTGCACAGAATAGTTTAAACAAAGAAGAAGTAAAAAACAAAA